AATGATTGCATATGCTCACCTTTCCTCTCTCTGTTGGCCAAGTGATATTTTTTATAAATACTTTTATTATCTTTAAGTAGTTGTACAAAAGAGTTAATCATCCACCAAAGCAGTGTATAAATACAGTGACTCTTGATGAATGCCACCCCTTTCAACATTCTCACCCACCCTGCCCAACCCATTCCCTTCCTCACTTTTCTTAATTTTAAAGTTATGTGTTGAATCTTTGCCATTAAACAAAGCAGTTTATGTATAGAATTCACCTTGATCTGTGTCATCACTTCAATGCCTTCAACCTCCTTCAATCTACCCCTTCCATTACGTGTGTGTGTGTGTGTGTGTGTGTGTGTGTGTTCTCTTAATCTGGGTTATGTTAAAAAGTAATTGCTGCTGCACTTATCCTTTCTCTTTTAAAGTTAGAAAATGCCTTTGCCCTTTTTTTCTAGTGCAATAGTCTCAGATTTTTAACTCAGTCTCTGTCCTCTGATTTGCAAATCTATTCTCTTTGAATATATTCTCTCCACATGTATATTAACCTAGTTTTAAAGTTCCTTGGGTCATGGCTTTTGAGACTAGTTTCATATTCAATTGTCTTTTAGGGGAATAATATTGAGCAGAGATGACAAGCTGGAACAGGTTATATAAATAACCAGTGACTTTAGGGATTAATATTTTAGAAATTTAGAATTGTCTTTATTTCCATGTATTCTCAAATGATGAATTGGTAGAAATTCTCAGATTTTATTTGTTCATAATTTTAAGTCATGTATGCTGCACAGATCTCTAGAGGGATTTTTGTGAATTTCTTGTTATATGTATATATGTGTATACCTAGGTGTGTGTTTGATCAAATTATTATTACATGTGACATAGAACAGAGGAGCAAATATTTGACTACTTTAAAATTTCAATCACAACATTTACTTAAGCACACTGAATCTTCTTATCAAAATCAATGGAGATGTATCTTTAAAAATTTTACAACTTTGGCAGGAGGAGGGGAGGGGAGGTTGGGCTTGGGGGGGGTGGGGGATGGGGGTGCGGGTGGGAGATGGGAAGGGATGGGAAGGGGAAACAAAGGAGAAGGCAACAATGCTTGATGACAGCTATACTCATTACCTTGCCCATGTAATTGTAACCCCTCTGTATGGTATTTTCACAATAAAAAAGAAAAAAAGAAAGAAAGAAAATGAAAAAGAGCAACCAAAAAAATTTAAAAAATAAATAATTTAAATTTAAGTTGGGCACTAGTGTCTCATGCCTGTCACCCTAGCTAATCAGGAGGCTGAGATCTGAGGATCACAGTTGAAAACATTCTGGACAGAAAAGTCCATGAGATTCTTATCTCCAGTAAACCACCAGAAAACCAGAAGTGACACTGTGGCTCAAGTGGTAGAATATTAGCCTTAGACTGAAGAGCTGAGGAACAGTGCCCAGTCCCAGAGTTGAAGCCCACCACCACCAAAAATAAAAAATTAAATTTATTATTGATTTTTCTTTTTTTGCTGGTTGTAGCACTTGAACTCAAGGCCTTTGTGCTGTCTCTGAGCTCTTTTGTTCAAGGTTAGCACTCTACCACTTTAAGCCACAGCTCCACTTCCATGATTGATTTTTAAATAGAGCTTTAAAATAACAATTATGTCTTCCAGAAGTTATCTTATAAGGTAATTGCAGTTAGGTTAAAAAGATGATAAAACCTAAGGGAAATATAATTCTTAAATATTTTTTTGTTTATTTAGTTTTTAGTTATTAAAATGAAATATAAATATAACATTAATTTCCATTATTACTTATGTACTTGGGCATTTTAAAATCTATTCTTAAATTATTATGCATTATGCAAAAATTTTACTTTTTATATAAAGGATAATAAATATTATAGAAACAATTTAATCTCTTACTTGTACCTTTAAAAATTCGGAAATATTTATATTAATTGATTTTATACAGAAATATAAAATTGTGTTTGTATATATATATATGCCATATATATATTTTATTATTATTGTGAAAATACCATACAGAGGAGTTACAATTACATGGGCAAGATAATGAGTACATTTCTTTTTTTTATTGTGAAAATACTGTACAGGGGGTTACAATTACATGGGCAAGATAATGAGTACATTTCTTATCAAGCATTGTCGCCTCCTCCTTGTTTCCCCTTCCCATCCCTTCCCATCCTCCCACCCCCCTCTGTTCCCCCCATATCCTCCCTCCCTGGGCAAAGTTGTAAAGTTTGCTGTACATCTCATTGTTGTATATATATATATATCACATTTTCTTGATCCATTCATTTACTGAGGGGCACCTGGATTGGTTCCATATTTGAACTATGGTGAATAATGCTACAATAAACATAGTCATGCTGGTAGCCTTAGTATGGCCTTGTTTGTGATCATTTGGGTAAATGCCCAAAAGTGGGATTGCTGGGTCATAGGGAGCTCTATGTGGAGTCTTTTGAGGAACCTCTATACTACTTTCCAAAGCGGTTGAAAAAGTTTACATTCCCACCAACAATGCAGTAAGGTTCCCTTCTGGCCACATCCCCTCTAGCATCTGTTGTTATTAGATTTCTTGATTATAGCCATTCTAACTGGGGTGAGGTAGAATCTCAATGTTTTGATTTGCATTTCTTTTATGGCTAGAGAGGTTGTACATTTGTTCATGTGTCTATTGGCCATTCTTCTTTCCCCTTCAGAGAAGTTTCTCTTTAAGTCTTTAGCCCACTTATTTATTGGGCAGTTGTTTCTTTGAGGATTTGTTGTTGAGGGAGTTAATTTTTTGAGTTCCAAGTATATTTTAGATATGAGACCCTTTTCCATTGTATGGCTAGTGAAGATCTTCTCCCAATCCGTGGGTTTTCTATTGATCTTGCTAGCTATGTTCTTTGCCATGCAGAAGGTCTGCAACTTCATGCAATCCCATTTGTCCAACCTTTCTTTGATTGATTGTGTTTCTGGGTCTCTAGTGAGAAAATTTCAGCCTGTGCCAAGGAGACCTAGGATTTCTCCTATTCCTTCCTGTAATGTTTTCAGAGTGTCTGCTTTGACTCCAAGGTCTTTGATGCATTTGGAGTTGATTCTGGTGCAGGGTGATATATAAGGATCTACCTTTAGTTTTCTACAGGTGATTAACCAATTTTGCCAGCACCATTTACTGAAGAGGCTGTCTTTCTTTCATTCTATTTTTTTTAGCTCCCTTAAAAAGAGAATCACAAACATAGGCATACTGATTTCCTCTGATTAATTTGCCATCTGGGTAAATGGATTCATTTCTCTCAAAATGGTAACAGATTGGTTTAGTATGTATTTAAAATATAAGATTAGCTCTCCAATATTTAGTAAGAAATGGATGTACAGCGATTTGAAGACTCAAGTTACTTAAGACTTATACACATATCAAGTAACAACACATATACATACTGAAAATCATTGGTCATTGGGTAAATGCAAAACTGAATGTGTTGTCACAAAGTTCCACTTAAAATTGATAAATTTAACAGTTATATACTGTTAATGGAATACTACAAGTGTTAAGGGAGCATTTTATTCAACATAACATACACAGTAAGACAAAGTCAATCAAAATTTAATATATACATCAAAATACATAGACAATGTATTAATGAAATCTGATAATGGTAATTTTAAAAATTATTGAAGATTATTAGTCAAACAGGATTGTGAATATAAAGAAAAATCTAGAATCAATGTTTGGAGAGTAAGACAGTATGAGTTAAAGAGAGAAGAAACTAGACTTTTTCAATTCACACAGCTAAATAATTGTGGGTGATTTTAATAAGTGTTAGTAGAAATGTGCATGAGGTTTCAATGTTGATCAGAAGGGAAGCCATTGATATGACTCTTTCAGTGGACTTAGAAAGTAAAGAGTATGTGGAAAGCTACTGTGTAGAGAAACACAAGACTTACCTCATTCATCCTGTAACCTACCATACCACTCACTGGGAAGTGTGACATTTTATCTTAACATTACTTAGTGTGAGATATGAGGTAATGCATGTTTAATGCTACTTGCTTTCAGTAACATATTCTAATTAAGGTATTATTAAGATATTAAGGTATAAGCTAGGATGAGGTATTACATATGTTTTGTCCTTACTTGATGCAGCTTTTAAAATAATCAAAGACAAAAATACTTTCCTAGGGCTGGGATGTAGCTCAGTGGCAAAGCGCTTGCCTACCAAGTGCAACGTCCTGGCTTCGATCCCCGGTACCAAAAAAGAAAAGACAAAAAAAAATACTTTCCTTTTCTATTTTCCTACTTTGCTTGTTTGCATACATCTTAAGTTACTAGATCTTATCTTTTAGGTGTCTGAATAGATCAAATTAGTCACACAAATTAGGCTGAAAATGTTTTTTTACAAGAGGTTGTAAACTAAAACAACCAAGCCACCTCTTTTTGCACCTCATACAAACACACTGAGAGAAGAGTGTCCTCTTAAGCTTTGATTTTTGCCTTTTCTATTTATTTTCACAATCTTGCTTCTATTTCTGTTTCTTTCTTCACATGAAATGGGAGTTAAATTTTTACAAGAAGTAAATAAATCATTTCCTGAAAAAGATGGAAAAAGACTATAAAAGACTAGTAGCTTTGCTGAATGGTCAGCTGTTCCCACAGACAAAAGCAGCTAACACAACTGAGTGAATGAAGCAGGGCTGTGCAGCTCACACAACAGCAGCAGAATAATTGTGTCTCATAAAATATCATAAAAATTCAAATACTATTTTAGCACTTAGTTCATTTAAAAAATATTACAATACAGATTGAATAATTCAAATGAAAGAAACCAACACCTTAAGGATTCTATCTTAAATATTATCTTCAGTCATTAAAATGCTTCAATTACTAATGTAATTAGAATTAAAACCACACAGGAAAATTATAATTGCATTTATTTTTTCATAAAAGAGATATATCTAAGTGGAAAATTGTGTAATTGCTACATAATAAATAGAAAGCATATAATATGCTGTGATCTATACATTTCTGTTTAATATCTTAGTCAGTGAGTTTATGACTTGTTTGTTCCTCAGACTGTAGATAAGAGGATTTAACACTGGAATTATGACAGTGTAAAATAAAGAGTCCATCATGCCGTGATTGTCTCCTTGTTGGGAGGCGGGGAGCACATACATGAATAGAAGAGGGCCATAGTACAAAGACACAGATAAGAGATGAGCCCCGCAGGTGGAGAGGGCTTTCCGTAGGCCTTTCATTGACTTCTTCTTTAAAATTGTCAACATCACTAACGAGTATGATATAAGAACTGTCACAATAGTGAATACTTGAATTGTACCAGAAAAAATAAATACCAGCAGCAAATTAATGAAAGGATCAGTACAGGAAATGCTATACAAAGGCATTATATCACAATAAAAGTGATGTATTACATTGGAATTACAGAAGGTTAATCTAAATAAAAATCCCACATGAAACAAGGAATGAAGAAAGCCCCCCACAAATGACAAAACTAATAGCCGCAAGCATAGCCTATTGGTCATGATCACTGGATAACGTAAAGGTTTGCATATGGCTACATAGCGATCATAAGCCATTACTCCTAACAGAAAGCATTCTGTGGTTCCACCAAATGCAAAGGCAAAAAATTGGATGATGCATTCCGAAAGAGATATCATCTTCCTTGTTACTAACAAGTTCACCAGCATATTTGGAGTCACCGTGGATGATATCCAAGCATCCACAAAAGCTAAGCTCCCAAGGAAGAAGTACATGGGGATGTGCAGGTGAGAGTCCTTCCAGATTAGAGCAATTAATCCAAGGTTTCCCACAAGGGTGATGAGATAGATTACCGAGAACACTAGGAACAGTGGGACCCGAAGCTCTTGCCGATCTGTAAGTCCTGTGAGAACAAAGTCTGTCAGCAATGTTGCATTTCCCTTTTCCATGATCACAAGATGTCCTCTAAAGGAAAATGAAATAAATGTAAAAAAACAATCACTAGGATTTATTCGGTGAATATTGGAGGAGAGGAATTATTATAACTCACAATTCCACCAGAATTGCCATTTAATTTTATTCATCTAATATAGGAATGGAAAATATTGAGAAGAATTGAAGTGCTTAAAACAGCAGTCATTTCAACTTTGTGAGTGAATTATTTTTATAAATGATTATATAATCTCTTTATAAAATGCTCCCAGGAAGACTAAAATTTATGTAGAACTCAAACAATACCTGTAATTCTAACTACTCAGAAGCTGAGATCTGAGGATCATAGTTCAAAGCCAGCCCAAACAGGAAAGTCCATGAAACGCGTATCCCCAATTTATCACCAGAAAACCAAAAATAGAGCTGTGGCTCAAATGGTAGAGCACTAGTTTGAATAATAAAGCTCAGGGACAGCTCTTGGACCCTTAGTTGCAGCCCCAGGACCACAAGTATATTTGAGAGTGATGAAGTGAAAAAAGAAATTTATTCTAGCCAGGCTCCAGTGGATCACACCTGTAATCCTAGCTGCTCAGGAGCCTGAGATCTGAGGATCACAGTTCAAAGCCAGCTCAGGCAGTAAAGTCCGTGAGACTCTTGTCTCCAATAAACCACTTAATAAAAAATGGAAGTGGCTCAAGTAGTAGAGCATTAGCCTTGAGGTGAAGAGCTGAGCAACAGTACCTGGGCCCAGAGTTGAAGCCCCACAATCAAAAGAAATAAAAATTAAGAAGAAAGAAAGAAAGAACGAAAGAAAGAAAGAAAGAAAGAACGAAAGAAACAACGAAAGAAAGAAAGAAAGAAAGAAAGAAAGAAAGAAAGAAAGAAAGAAAGAAAGAAAGAAAGGAAGGAAGAAAGAAAGGAAGGAAGAAAGGAAGAAAGAAAGGAAGAAAGGAAGGAAGGAAGGAAGGAAGGAAGGAAGGAAGGAAGGAAGGAAGGAAGGAAGGAAGGAAGGCAGGCAGGCAAGCAAGAAAGAAGGGAGAGAGGAAAGAAAGAAAAAGAAAGAAAGAAAGAAAGAAAGGAAGAAAGAAAGGAAGAAAGAAAGGATGGAAGGAAGGAGAAGAAAGAGAGAGAGAAAGAGAAAGCAAGAAAGAGAGAGAGAAAGAGGGAAAGAGAGAAAGAGAGAGGGGGGAAGAAGAAGGGAGGGAGTGAGGAAGGAAGGAAGGAAGGAAGGGAGGAAGGAAGGAAGGAAGAAAAGAAGGAAGAAAGGAAGGAAGCAAGAAAGGAAGCAATCAAGGAAGGACAAAAAGAAAGAAAGAAAGAAAGAAAAGAAGGAAGGAAGAAAAAGAGAGAGAGAAAGAGAGAAAGAGAAAGCAAGAAAGAGAGAGAAAGAGGGAAAGAGAGAGGGGGAGAGAAGAAGGGAGGGAGGGAGGGAGGAAGGAAGCAAGCAAGTAAGGAAGGAAGGAAGGAAGAAAAGAAGGAAGAAAGGAAGGAAACAAGGAAGGAAGCAAGCAAGGAAAAACAAAAAGAAAGAAAGAAAAGAAAGGAAGGAAGGAAGGAAGGAAGAAAGAAAGAAAGAAAGAAAAAGAAAGAAAGAAAGAAAGAAAGAAAGAAAGAAAGAAAGAAAGAAAGAAAGAAAGAAAGAAAGAAAGAAAGAAAGAAAGAAAGAAAGGAAGAAAGAAAGAAAGGAAGGAAGAAAGAAAGATTTATTCTAAAATTTTCACAAGGCAGATTCCCTGGATGTTTACACCCACGCTTAACCTGGCACAAGAATCCTGCAAAGTAAAAAGCACAGTTTTGGTGACTAGGAAGATAGTCATAAAATATTCAGATTAGGAACTAGGATGTACTGAAAATTATATTAAAAGGATCAGTGGAACATTCAAGCAGGACATACTTCATGATAGGACTAATATCGGAGTAATACTAATAATAACTTTGGAGTCCTAGTAGTATTTGTAGGCAGAGTTGTGGATAACATATGCTTTGGAAAACAACACTATTGAGAAATCAGAATGGCAATTTTTAAAATGAGGAAGTTACATGGAGACAATAAAAGTGTCCACCAGTTTATCATCAGTGCTTGATCTTTTAAAACTGCATAGCTCTGGGTAACAAAGAGAAGACTGTACTTACCCATTTATCAATGGAGGCATACCCAAAATCTATTTGAATGTGGACAAATGCAGATAAATGCATGTGGACAAAAAGTGATTTTAATAGCTAAAGTGACAAAAATAAAAAATACCAAGACCCAGGTACCTGTGTCCTACATAGACACCAATGACATTCCAGTGTGAACAGCAGCTTCACAAGATCAACAGTCGTCACTCCTACACTCCTCTATCTAGTTTTAGGAGGTGATTTTAGCTATTCCCTGCATGACTTCATTCCTCCTCTCCCTAATGTGTACTTAACTGATTTCTATATTTCTATGTTAGAATTTTCCTTTGTTAAACTCATTTCTAATTGAACTAGAAAGACCTGGAGGTCCAGAGGTTGAAAAAAAAGAAACAATAAATCAAGAAAGAGTATAGTGATAAAGTAAGAAACAAGGAAGCTAAATATTATTGACATGAAAACAAGAAAGATGCCATGAATGACAAAATGTAGACCATTGCCAAATGCACAATTAAATGTTTAGGAAGAGAATGGGTATCTACAGAATAATGAGTGTGGAAAATAGGGAAATTTCAGTAGTGATAGTGACAGCACTTCCCTTTATGGAATAGACCTAGGATCTGTGAACAGAATGTGAACAGGAAGCAAGTGATACAGAGTACCTGGAATAAAGCAGGGAGCTCCATGAAATAGTGAGTAGTGCATATTCTCCTGAATGTCTAGTATCATTTGTTCTTTAAAAGGTTAGAAAACTAGCTGGGTGCTGGTGGCTCACACCTGTAAATCCTAGCTACTCAAGAGGCTGAGATCTGAGGATCAGGGTTCAAAGCCAGCCCGGGCAGGAAACTCCATGAAATTCTTATTTCCAATTCACCACCAGAAAACCGGAAGTGGTGCTGTTGCTCAAATGGTAGAGCACTTGCCTTGAGCTGAAGAGCTGAGGGACAGTGCCCAGGCCCAGAGTTTAAGCCCCAAAACAACAACATTTTTTTTTAAGTTTAGAAAACTTTTACCAGAATAGGATAGGTGCCTGAATGGAATGGGGAAAGGTGATCAAGGTAGAAAAGGGACAGGCAAAGATGAAGAAACCTTTGAGTGGTGAGAACAAAACACAGGGAAGGAAAAATAGGCAATAATAGCAGAGTCATAGAGGGATACATGTAGGAAAGGCAAGCCAATGAAGAGGGAAAGAGAGTAGGAGAGATTATGAGGAAACAAAAATACACAGTTAACATTGCTGTATATAAAATAGTCAAATACTCATATATGTTCATAAAACATAGATAATAATTCCTATATTTCTATACATGCATCACTATGTATTAATGTAATGAAATAAATACATGATTTATGTCTATGCTATATTAAAAGATAGTATATAAGAAAATTATTGTCAGTGTGGTAGTAATTACTATTGAGTTGCTAGACCTTAGGTTTTATTTAGAATGTGTGGTCATATAGCATGTATATTATAACCATCATAAATATTTTCTATGTAATAATCAATATATCACCAGTCTCGAAACTCTATTTTGAAGGCTTTAATATTCAAACTTAGCAGAACTTAAGTAGAATAACATTAAAATAAATCTTGTTACAGGGAACAATTCAACTACATCTATTCACTTATATAGATTTTAGTAACTAATTACTTTTTACTTTCCATTATCTTTGACAATTTTGGCATTTGATGCTCAAATTCTAATATTGCTATAAACTAATAAGCTTAAAACCTTATAAATTATACACACTATAAATAGTAATTACTCTTGGAAATAATTTCTTTTACCAATATCTTCCAAGAAATGATGAGATTCTTTAATAGGTTTTCAAATCAAAGATAATACATGATGGCACAATATGCAGAGAACAATTCTTTATACAGTGACTTATCTTGAAGGCTTCACTTGCAAAGCAGCAGAAATTTTCATTTATATAATTTTGCTTTGATCATAAGAATCAACCAATTGTATAACACTGTGTTTGCCAAGAGGATAAGGTAAAAGAACTGAAATTCCCCTAAGAGAGTCTAAGGATTCCCTATAGGGTAAAAGCAGATCTTCAACTGGGCATTGTTGGTTTTTCTGTGTGTGTGAAATCCAGGTCATCCCTCAGGACAATTTACAGGTTAGTTGATAAAACAATGTAAAGCCACTCTTGGTGACCCTGGTGTTAGCAATTGCAATTTCACGTTGCGCCAGTGTTCCTTACTACAAATGATATTTCAGGCTGGTTTATGAAAGTTCACTTTTATATAAAATTTGATGCCATATAGTCTATGTCTTTAATAAGACCAACTGTCTAGATCCCCATCGTGAGAAAACGTAAAGTGATGTTTTCTTCCTCATACAAACTACAGCTTAAGTTTCCCACATTCGCCTTCTATATGTGGAATTCTGATGCAAAGTTTTAGCAGGCAAATCACTGGAGGAGTATATAGGAAAAAAAAAAGGAAAAAAAATGCCCGTTGAGGAAGGTAGGCTAGATCTGTGTCACTCAGGCAACGATGCCTAAGAATTTCCTAGACTTTTTGTTAAAATGTAGATTCTGTTTAATTAATTCTAAGGTGAGACTCAGGAGTCTCCAGTTACAGGGAGATAATATCTGAGAGCCCTGGCCATCTACAAAGTTGTCATCATTGGTAGCCCAAGTTTATCACTGGAGAAATAAAATCTTATGGGTGTAATTGCCTGCAGAATCAAATATAGCAGGCAGAAGGAAGATCATTCCACATCAAGGTGAAGAGGCCAATATAAATGAGATACAAGGGGCCTTGTAGGTTAGCTCAGGATATTGTTCTTTACCTCAAGACAAAGGCGAGGAAGCAAAGATTATTGGGCATGGGACAATATGTTCAGTTTTTTTTTCCTTCTGAGAATAAAGATAATGTTTTCAAGGA